GGGGGGGGGGGGGTAAATCCTCTGGAGGGCAAGTGGTTAAGAACAATGATGCTAAGAAAAATATGGGAGCTACTACTGCTGACTTGTATTTGCTGTCTTTACCTACTCAGTGACTGATCTGGACAATGTAGAAGTGGGGCTCAGACTTTTAACAATTCACTAGCCTCATTGTTTGATCCAGGTCCTGGGCTCACTAGCTAGCCAGGCCTGGATCAGTTAAGCCTGGTTATTTTAGCAGCTGTGAACTTATTTTTATTTAGAGCAGTGAGAATTGTGTACCCTTGGGCTTGGCATCAAAGGAAAGGAAAACAAGAGACAGCCAACAAGAAAATACTCTTCTTTATCTCAGTTTAGAAGAAACCTGTTTTCAAAGAAGTACAGAGGATGTAATTGCAGGTCAGCAATTTAGCTAGAATTGTAGGTGCTGCTCTTGACTTGACTGCATTGCTCAATCACAATCAGTTCCTAATCAGCCTTTCTTTTCCCTCCTGTCCAAAATCACTGTACCCTCTGCCCCCTGACCATGATCAGCTTCAACATTACTTCTACCAGCAGTCTAAGGATTGTTGTTATTATTGTTATTATACAGGATTTACAGTCAGGTCCATAAATATTGGGACATATGCAAACTGTTGTAATTCCTACACCGTTCACCTGATTTGGATGTAAATAACCTCAAATTAAAGCTGACAGTCTGCAGTTAAAGCACATCTTGTTTGTTTCTTTTCAAATCCATTGTGGTGGTGTATAGAGCCAAAAATGTTAGAATTGTGTCTGGTGATGTCTATGCCTTCCAGACTTCAGGCTGTAATTGACTGAAAAGGATTTGCAACCAAATACTAAAAAGTGAAAGTTTGATTTATGATTATTATTCTGTCCCATTACTTTTGGTCCCTTAACAAGTGGGAGGCACATATGCAAACTGTTGTAATTCCTACACCGTTCACCTGATTTGGATGTAAATACCCTCAAATTAAAGCTGACAGTGTGCAGTTAAAGCACATCTTGTTCGTTTCATTTCAAATCCATTGTGGTGGTGTATAGAGCCAAAAATGTTAGAATTGTGTCGATGTCCCAATATTTATGGACCTGACTGTATATAGCACCAACAGTTTGATCAACGCTTTACAATATAAAGGGAGACAATACAGCAACAATACAGTTCAATACAAGAGGGTTAGGAGGGCCCTGCTCCTTGGAGCTTACAATCTAAGAGATTAGTTTCCACTCTTCTTTCCCTGTCTGTGCTATCCTAGCTTCTGCTCTAACTCCTCTCTTACCTCCTGTCCACAATCAGCTCCACTAATCTGTTCATGAAGAAAAGCACGTTTGCTGGGACATAAAATGTGCCAAAAAAGTAGTTGTTACCTGTCATTTGATTGCTTTTAAACATCTTTTTTTTATTGCTGTCGTATTTTAATTTATGTATTGCTCTGAGCAGTACCTTCAAACGAAGAACAAACAGTGCAATGAGATATGCAGGAATGAATCCAATTATTTATTTACAGTACATATTGGCCTATGTGCAAACAGTTGGAGGAGACGGCATGGGTTTGATTCCAGCTGACGAATGTTGAGGTCTTGAGACAGCATAAAGTGTTCCTGTTTCTGAGTCAGAATGAAGCAATTAACTATATTGAGAGAAATTAACTATTTAAAAAAAAAAAAAATAGAAATAGAAAAAAAGAGAGGAAATACATAGTGTTGCACAGCAACTAGTTCATGGACAGATACACCCACATTGGCTTACAATCTCCCTGTCCGATATATATTTACTGGCACTCTTTGCCTTGATTGTAACATTTCCCCAATTGAGCTGAGAGCACAGATCCTGGAATCTAAAAAGGTCTGTTTGTAGGCTGTGGGAAGGTTCAGGCAGTAGGCACCCGGAGAGGGGAGTGGCTGAAAATGCGTAATTGTATTGTCAAAATGTTCCCGATACAACATTTTTAGACAAGTGGCAACACTCACTGCAGTATATGGGACTTGCAGAGAGAAAGTGATGCACAGAGACTGACAGCACCTGGCACAGGGAGCAGTTTGAAGGCAGATACAGTAAGCAGAAATAGAGTAAATGTTTCCCGAGGAATTCTGACGACAGTTCTTATGCTGTCCCTCCTTCTCTGGAACTTCTCCCTATGCTAGGCACACTGACAAGCGGGTTCCTGTCCCTGACCTAGCACCATGAGGAATGTTCACCATCTGTAGTTAGCCAGGGTTTTTTTGTAAGTTCTGCCTTCATTAACCACTTGCCCTCCAGAGGATTTACCCCCTTCCTGATCAGGCCATTTTTTGCGTTACGGCGCTGCGTTACTTTAACTGACAATTGTGCGGTCATGCAATGCTGCACCCAAATTAAATTTATGTCTTTTTCCCACTAATTGAGCTTTCTTTCGGTGGTATTTGATCGCAAGTGCATTTTTTATTTTTTGCACTATAAAAAGAAAAGACCGACAATTCTGAGAAAAAAAAACTATATTTTTGACTTTTTGCTATTAAACACGTCCAGTAAAAAAATGTTAAAAATCAAATTTTGTCATAAATTTAGACCAAAATGTATTCTGCTACATGTCGTTGCTAAAAAAAAAAAAATCACAATACGTGTAAATTAACTGGTTTGCGTGAAAGCTATAGCGTTTACAAATGGCGGTGTATATATACTGGAATTTATTTATTTTTTTTACTAGTAATGGCGGCGATCAGCGACTTATAGCGGGACTGCAGCAGGCATTCTGAGACTTAGGGGAAATGACTTGGTGTCACTGACATCCCCAGTGACACCAATACACTGATCAGTGCTAGAAAAAAAAAACACTGACACTGTACAAATAACACTGGGCAGGAAGGGGTTAACATGAGAGGTGGTCAAAGGGTTAACTGTGTGCTGGGAGTGTTTTACTAGGGGGCCATGTCAGTGTGCTTCACTGTAAGCACACTGCTCTGGATCGTTGTGCTGTGCAGTGTGTCCTAGCCGACAGGGAGGAGGACTGTTAGTAAACAAAGCAGCCCAAAGCTCGTCAGAGATCCTTGGGACCCGGTGATTGACAGCCGCGGACGTGAAAAGCAACGCGGGTAGAGCGCGCACGACTCGCGCGCACCCACTACCCGGAAGTGCAAAATCACATATATATGCATGATTTTGCGCACCCCTGTCGCCCTGTAGCAGTATATCTATTATAGGGCGTCAGGGAAGATGGCTGCAGAGGCCAACCTGCACCTGCCTGCATGTTGTATTTCAAGTCCAGGTTATAGCATCAAATGCTGCCTGATACATCTCTTCAAAGTAAGTTTTACCTTCGGCTGTCAAAAACTGCCCAGGAAGTAGTTTTCTAAGCAGGCCTAATACTAATGTCCCTATGAATTCAATTTATTTTCTATAAAAATCTGAGCTAAAAAAAATCACCAAGGAGACTAGAGATGAGCGAATCGAAGTAGGCGAAGTGGAATTCGTTTTGAATATTGGAAAATTTTCGATTCGCGCCGAATCCGAAAAATATCATACTTCGGATGCGCGAATCGAAATTTTTCCTAAAATGGCGGCGACATGTGCGGCGACGGAGCGGGGATGTCTGGGAAGGCGCGCAGACAAGGCGCGCTGACCCATAATGCATTCATTAATGACATGTGATCGCATTAGCCAATCAGCAGCCAGCCAGCCAGCACTGTGTAATGGTCGAGCTATAAATGGCGGCCATTTTAGAATTCTCCATTTGCCTCCAGTCATTCAAGAGAGGCAGACCGCTCTGTATTAGGGACAGAGTTAGGGCCACAGAAACGTTACTTAGGGCCACAGAAACGTTACCTAGGGCCACAGAAACGTTACTTAGGGACAGAGAAACGTTACTTAGGGCCACAGAAACGTTACTTAGGGCCACAGAAATTGTTACTTAGGGCCACAGAATTGTTACTTAGCCACAGAAACGTTACTTAGGGCCACAGAATTGTTACTTAGGGGGTTACAGGGACACAGAAATTGTTTAGGGGGACAGGGACACAGAATTGTTACTGGGGGACAGACAAACGTTACTGAGGGCCACAGAATTGTTACTGGGGGACAGACACAGAATTGTTACTGGGGGACAGACACAGAATTGTTACTGGGGGACAGACACAGAATTGTTACTGGGGGACAGACACAGAATTGTTACTGGGGGACAGACACAGAATTGTTGAATTAAAGAGTATGTCAGACAACATGCAGAGGAGTGGCAGAGGAGGCAATGTTTTAGGAGCGAGCAGACGTGGCAGCAGAGGAAGGGGTCGAGGCAGCACTATTCGCAGCCAGAGGCCAGTGCTCCCGGTGTCAAACAGTACAGTGAGGAAGAGCTAACAGAGGGCGGTCAGGAACGGGGGGAGATATATCCGCCTCTTCAGCAGCCAGGCGAAGAAGTAGTGGCGAGGAGAGTGGCTCGGTAGCCGGTCTAGAGACAGGTCTGTCTCCTGACCCACACGCAGCCGAGGGGGCTAGTAGTGAGGCGGAGACCCTAATTGATGATGAGGCTGATCGCACTTGGCAGCCTCGTCGTCATCAGGCTATTGCTTCCGCATCATCAGGAGAAGAGGGTGGCAGCTTGGCAGCGAGCAAAACAGTCGGTGGGTTGTCTCCATCGCCACACTCTGCCATGTGCCACTTTCAGGTCTCCTCACACTGCTGGTGTGTTCCATTTTTTTGTCATAGGGTGCTGGCCGATTACGGGCCTCCCATAGCTGCTGCCAGGCCCCTAATCTGCCATGGGCCCCTGAACCGCCTCCTCATGCTGCTGCCAGGTCCACAGTGTCTCATGCCATGTGCCACTTTCAGGTCTCCTCACACACTGCTGGTGTGTTCCATTTTTTTGTCATAGGGTGCTGGCAGATTACGGGCCTCCCATAGCTGCTGCCAGGCCCCTAATCTGCCATGGGCCCCTATACCGCCTCCTCATGCTGCTGCGAAGTCCAGAGTCTCTCATGGGTCCCTGTACGGCCTCCCATTGCTGCTGTCTCCATCGCCACACTCTGCCATGTGCCACTTTCAGGTCTCCTCACACTGCTGGTGTGTTCCATTTTTTGACATAGGGTGCTGGCAGATTACGGGCCTCCCATAGCTGCTGCCAGGCCCCTAATCTGCCATGGGCCCCTATAGCGCCTCCTCATGCTGCTGCCAGGTCCATAGTGTCTCATGGGTCCCTGTACGGCCTCCCATTGCTGCTGTCTCCATCGCCACACTCTGCCATGTGCCACTTTCAGGTCTCCTCACACACTGCTGGTGTGGTCAATTTTTTTGACATAGGGTGCTGGCAGATTACGGGCCTCCCATAGCTGCTGCCAGGCCCCTAATCTGCCATGGGCCCCTATACCGCCTCCTCATGCTGCTGCCAGGTCCAGGCGAATGTAGTCACCCAGGGGAGGAACTTCTCAGTGTAATGAACAGAGAAATCGACAGATGGCTGTCTCCGCGCAAACTGAAAATCGGAACCATGTTGACCGACAACGGAAAGAACATGGTGTCTGCTCTGCGTCAAGGAAGGTTGCGCCATGCATGGCTCACGTGTTCAATCTGGTTGTCAAGCGGTTCCTAAAATCCACCATCCCACTGCATCCTTAAAATGTCACATAAACCTTGCATGCATTTCAGCCATTCCTACACCGCAAAGCACACCCTCCTTGAGCTGCAGCGGCAGAACGGAATTCCACAGCATCGCCTGATCTGCGACGTTGCAACAAGGTGGAATTCAACCCTACACGTGGTAGACCGCCTTTACGAACAGCGAAAGGCCATCACCGATTTCATGATGTTACAAGCGGATAAAGGTACTCCCCTGTGTAACTTTGATGTCAGCCATTGGCAGCTCATGCGTGACACCTGCCGCTTGCTCAGGCCCTTTGAGGAGGCCACGCTATTCGTGAGTCGGCAGGACTATGGGATGAACGACGTCATTCCTCTGTTGCACGTCCTGGAACAAATGCTGTTAACAATGGCTGGTCAGGGTGCGGTAGACGTGGCGCACAGATCTCAACGCCACATGACCCCTGTGGGGGCAGGACAGGAAGAAGAGGAGGAGGTAGAGGAGGACATTTGTGCTCAGGAATTATTGAGTGAAATGGGTGGTTTTTCCACTCAGCGGACAGGAGTGGAGGAGCAGGAGCATCTGGTAGAGGAGGAGGAGGAGGAGGAGACAGAGGACCCAGACGCACCGTGGCAGTATGCTGTGGAGATGGAGGCAGGGAGTCCCTCGCATTCCTTGGCACAAATGGCCCATAGCATGCTCGCTTGCTTGCGTAGCGACAGCCGAATAATAACCATCAGACAGAGGGATGACTTTTGGCTGTCCACCTTGTTGGACCCTCGCTACCGTTCAAAAATGGTGGCCTTTTTCACACCTGCTGAGAGGGAGGCCAAAATAACGTACTATAAAAACCACCTATGTAGTCAGTTGGTCTCTGCCTTTGTGCGCCAACGTCCATCCTCAGACACTGTGGGCCCTGTGCGCTCGCGTTCCGCTGCCATGGCAGCAGGGGAGGGGTGGGGTGGTAGGTAGCAGTGGCAGCTCCACCAGCAGCGGCTGCCTCAGTCTGCAGTCGATGATGAGTAGCTTTCTTCACCAGCGCAGTGAGGAAACTACTAACCAGCCGCAGCAGCAGCAGCATCAGGTGGACCTGGAGCAGGACCTCAAACAGGCTTGGGCCTACTTGGACAGCACCCTGCCAACCGAGGTAGACAATCCCCTTGACTACTGGGCAACGAAACTTGACCTTTGGCCCCAACTAGCTGAATTTGCCCTTGAAAGGCTGTCATGCCCGGCCAGTAGCGTGGCATTGGAGCGCGTGTTTAGTGCGGCAGGAGGTATTGCAACTCCGCAGAGGACACGACTGTCCACCCAAAGTGTGGAGAGACTCACGTTTGTGAAAATTAATCGGGCGTGGATTAGTCTGGATTTCAAACCACCAGTTCCTGACACAACTGACTAAATCCGCCATGAATCATGCCCCAAACATGTGCCACTTTCAGGTCTCCTCACACTGCTGGTGTGTTCCATTTTTTGTCATAGGGTGCTGGCAGATTACGGGCCTCCCATAGCTGCTGCCAGGCCCCTAATCTGCCATGGGCCCCTATATACCGCCTCCTCATGCTGCTGCCAGGTCCAGAGTCTGTCATGGGTCCGTGTACGGCCTCCCATTGCTGCTGTCTCCATCGCCACACTCTGCCATGTGCCACTTTCAGGTCTCCTCACACTGCTGGTGTGTTCAATTTTTTGTCATAGGGTGCTGGCAGATTACGGGCCTCCTATAGCTGCTGCCAGGCCCCTAATCTGCCATGGGCCCCTATACCGCCTCCTCATGCTGCTGCCAAGTCCAGAGTCTCTCATGGGTCCCTGTACGGCCTCCATTGCTGCTGTCTCCATCGCCACACTCTGCCATGTGCCACTTTCAGGTCTCCTCACACTCCTGCTGGTTTCCATTTTGTCATAGGTTGCTGGCAGATTACAGGCCTCCCATAGGTGCTGCCAGGCCCCAAATCTGCCATGGGCCCCCGTACCGCCTCGTCACGCTGCTGCTGGGTCCACAGTGTGACATGGGTCCCTGTACCGCCTCCCATTGCTCCCACTCTGCCATGTGCCACTTTGAGGTCTCCTCACACTCCTGCTGGTTTCCATTTTGTCATAGGTTGCTGTATGGCCTCCCATTGCTGCTGCCTCCAACGCCACACTGTGGCTCCAAACACTGGTTTTGGCCCCGTGACTGGCCAAATGAGTGAAGTGTGCGGTGATTCTAAGATCGACGGCACTCATCTGCATGTCATACTGACTGACAGTATTATTTCTCTTCCCCAGCAGACTCCAAGGGCATTTTAAATTAAAGGTTCAGTGTTCTGCACTAATATTAAGTCTCTCTGAAGCCTAGAAACACCCTTTTTTTAAGTTAAATTCACAGCGAATATATTCGACTCGAATCGAATATTTTCCACGAATTCGCCGAATCAGTCGAATCGAATTTTTGAATACTTCGCTCATCTCTAAAGGAGACCATAGACTTTGGGGAAGAACTAAACCCTGAAAACAGTTACCAAAAAAGACAGACAGATGACAAAATACTGGTCACAAATATTGCCTGTTATATTCCTGTAGCTGATCTTTCCCTGTTAATGACTTACCATGCCATGTACTGCACTGTGTCTCTGTGTGGATGTGGTCATCTTCGTTGAGGTAGGTCCTTTTCTTCTAATGCCAGAGCCTCCAGCAATGAGAACAGTGAACAGAACTGTAGTGGCATCACCAAATCTGCTGAGACTAGCAGTCACGGGCAGCAAAGTCAAATCACACTGCTAATATACAGACATGAGGCTGTAGACACAACCTTTCATCCATCACATTAACAGATAGTGAACTGTCACTACTAAAAAGAGGCCTCAATTTTGCACCGTCTACTACACCTAATCCTTTTACCCTATTCAAAGAACTCAATAAATTCACCCGCAATCATACTCTCAAAAGACATTTTCAGCTACAGGCCCTTAAGAACGCCAAAACATCATCTCTATCCCCTAACACCACCATTGTGGAAACAGATTCTTCAATTGACCCTCAGGCCCTAGACTTCCTAATGGAACTCTGGGATGACGGAGACCCAGATGACACCTTTCTTCTGTCCCAATATCCTCCAGATTCTCCCCGTATTAGACATACAAATCTAAAACCCCCATCCACATTCAACCCAACTTATAATAAGGGTCCCTACATAGAGACTTTTTTTCAAATGGTACACTCTGATCTCAAAATCCTCTGTTCTGATAACACTAAATTTACATCTAACCTCAACCACTCTGAATTCTTAGCCCTCAAAACCCTTAGCAATAACTCTGATATTATCATTAAGACAGCTGACAAGGGGGGGAGGGATAGTCATCCAAGATAAGGTCGATTATTTTAATGAAGCCAATTGTCTGTTGTCTGATTCCAACACCTACCTTAAATTAGCCCCGGACCCTCTTCCTAAATACATCCTAGAATCGAATGATATCATCAAAATTGCCACTCAGGAAGGAATCCTCTCTAAATCAGAGGCCTCTTTTTTCCGGAGAGACATATTCAAAACTCCATATTTTTATCATCTCCCAAAAATCCATAAAGACCTTGATCATCCGCCTGGCCGCCCTATAGTTGCAGCTATGGAGAGCATTACCACCAGCTATTCGCTCTATATTGATAGCTTTCTCCAACCTCTAGGCCAATCACTTCCCTCCTATATTCGGGATTGTGTACATCTATTGGAAATTCTTGAGGCGTACTCCTGGGAACCTTCTTACATCTGGGTCTCCCTTGACGTTAGTTCCCTATACACCTCTATCCCTCACGATGTAGGACTAGAAGCTGTTCTACACTTCCTGTCTGTGGATGCTTCCCTCCACCCTAGCCAGATTAATTTCATCCTCACTGCTACAAAATTCTGCCTCCAGCACAACTATTTTTTGTTTAATGATAGTTTCTATTTACAAAAAACAGGCACAGCCATGGGTGCTAATTTTGCACCTAGCTATGCCAATCCACCATGGGCCTCTGGGAAGATCGCTATGTCTGGAGTAATAACATCTTTGCTGCCCATTTGGTGTTCTATGGTCGTTATATAGACGACATTATCATCATCTGGGACGGCCCTGTCACTTCTCTTGCATCTTTCATTCAACACTGTAACAATAACCCATTCAACCTTTCTTTTACCCACGTTATGGACCCTACCTCACTAAGTTTTCTTGACCTGGAACTTAGCCACTCGGATTCTAATATTCTAGCTAAAAATTACACCAAACCAACCGCTGGTAATTCCTTTCTTCATTATACTAGCTGTCATCATCCTAGATGGCTCAAAAATATACCCAAAGGACAGTTTTGCAGACTTCGACGCAACTGTACCTTACTTAAGGACTACAAAGCCCAAAGCATTGAATTAAAACAAAAATTTACAGAAAAAGGATATCCCTCTGAGTTAGTGGAACAAGCATATCTCACCTACTTATCAGACACGATCCCCCCCCCACCTAAGCCGCAATCATCGAACAACAACAATATCCGTTTCATTACACAGTTCCATTCTAAACATCACAAAATGGAATCCATCCTGAAGAAACACTGGCCTATCTTACATCAAGATCCACACCTTAAAATGATTATGCCTCCTACCCCCACATTTGTATATAGAAGAGCAATTAACATTAAGAATAAAATTGCACCTAGTAAAATTCCCCCCCTGAAATCCCCTCCTATTCACAATAGACCGGTACTAAACCCACTTACTGGGATGTTCCGCTGCAATAAACCGCTCTGCCTCACGTGTGCCCATGTGAAGCATGGCCAACAAAATTTTACAATTAATGGAAAAGTCTATCCCCTTCAAGCCTTTTATAATTGCTCTTCCACATATGTAATTTATTGTTTGTCCTGCCCGTGCGGCCTTTTATATGTGGGACGTACCATTAGAACACTTCGAAAAAGATTTGGAGAGCACCGGAGGTCAGTTGATGATGGCATTACCAAATACAGTGTTCCCCGCCATTTTTCAGAGTTTCATTCTAAATCCTCTCTCCATCTACAAGTATGGGTCATTGAGGCTATACCAGACCATCTCCCCCCAGTTGAACGTTTCAAATTATTATGCCAACAGGAGACCTATTGGATTTTTACTTTAGATACCCTTGCACCTAGGGGCCTCAATGAAGAGATTGAGATACACACGATTATTTAATTTTTTTAAAAAAATTATTTTAATTTATTCTTCATATCTTTTTTATTTATTTTTTACAGTATATACTTCAATTTCCACCACTTCCCCCTTTTTACATGCGTATTTTTTTTTTTTTCCCCTGATTGTCCCCCCCCCCCCCTTCATATTCCACCTTCTTACCCGCCCATCTTACCCTTTATAATCCACATCATAGTAATAACGTTTATAATTAAATATTCCCTGTGTAATCTTTTATCTTCCACATGCATTTTTTTTTTTTTTTTTTTTTTTTATTTATTTATTTATTTTTTTTGTTTTTTTTTCTCCCCATTTCTTTCCTTTCCTTCTATTCTTTCTATCTTTCACATGTTCTACAGAAAGCAGCTGCTCACCGTTTATTTCTTATGTTTTCCACCACTGCTTGTTAAGCCTGTATGCATTATACATTTTTTTAATTTCACTACCCCGCCCCTCAGTTGCCCCACCCCTTCCTCCTCTCCTTATTTATTGGCTCATCCCACTAGCCAATCAGGTCTGATGAAAAGGCAGGTTGCCTAGAAATGCGTCACCGCCCCCTTGGAGGATTCCCAGCAACGTCCTGATGTCATTTCCTGCCTGGTGGCCATCTTGGATGTGCCTGAAGCTGGCCACTGTACCCACGCTGATGTGAGAGATCAGCAGTGCCTGCCCTGGATCCCGGTTCTTATCTGCGCCGCGACTCCCGGTTACTGCGCCTGCCATCCTCGCCTCCTCCTGTGGGACCTGCCTAGAGCGCCAGCCACGCAACACCTTGGCATTACAGCCATCCATTTGTGAGGTGCAGCACAGATGACATCCTCCTCCTTATATATTGATGCCTGATATCTACCCCCGTCTTGTGAGTTTTTATAATCTTGTGTGCAATAAACTTTTATATTCATACTGCACTTAGTCTGGCGCACTTCTCTTTCTTCTCCACTTACCACAGAGTCCGGTTTACTCTAGAAAGTGCAAGCCTCACGACGGTGTCTACATTGTAGCGTTGTGTATATATATATGTATACACATATATATATACCATCTATCTCAATCCAGTACTGTTTGCATCACAAGGCCTTTTTTTCCCCCTCCTTTCCCTCCCCTCCCCTCCCCCCCTTCCCTTTCCTCACCACTGAAGCTGCATCATCTACTTGTTGTCCCTTTTAATACTAGCATATATGATTATATATCTTAATTTCTGTTTACTGGATTATTTTGTTTAAGATTTACTGAGTGAACGTTATATCCACTACAAATTCTCTTGCGCCAATTGCATTTTTATTTATGTCTAGGCACTCTTACCTATCAGAAAGTGCACAGCTAGTTTTCAAGATGGATTGGTAGATTTTCAGGGTCAAATAAAAAAGCTGTACATCCACCATGTATTTTTATCTTTTCCTCATAACACTTTATTGTAACATGTATGAGTTCACAACATTAAGTTCAATCACAGTGCCCTCCTCTAGATTCTGTTTATTCTC